TGGTGCAAATTACTGACCTCTGTCATCATTTTAAGTGGGGGAACTTGCACAATCGGTGGCTGACTAAATACTTTTTTGCCCCACTGTAAATCAGGATGCAGAAAAGCTGTGCCCCAGACGCAAACTGTCCGGCCTGGCGACAAAGTTAAGCACCAGGGCTTTCATCAGGCGTCCCAGACGCCTCGCTGCTAGCAGACTTCGGCGGCGTCATCTCACTCTCCTCGGTGGATGCGATGTGTTGGGCTACGGCTCGGAAGGACCAAATAAATGTTGAGTCTGTGTTTCCACAAGCCCCGCTAGTTTAGACTTATTCCTCATGAAGAAAACAAGACAGTCAGCGATCGATCGATTTTACTTGCACAAGGGAGGCCCCAGTCGGTGTCTCAGGAACGCACTTCGAATCCTACCACAAACGACCCCAACTTAGGCCTCCGTTCGTTGCCTTTTTATTGACAAACTGTTACAATACACATCACAGCAAAAGCACCTCCCACCGTAAAACCCCCAAATGGTTCTAAGATAAGGCACTATGTGTGTGTGTGTGTGTGTGTGTGTGCAAGCACGTGTGCAAGAATGCGTGTGTGTGTGTGTATGCATGTGCAAGAACGTGTGTGTGTGTGTCCTCCTGCTCACCCAAAGGATCATAAAAGCAGGAAGCAACATCAAACAGAATCTTCACAAGGGATGTGCTTGTTATAAAACACTACAGCCTCCTCCCAGAACCTCAAGAGGCTGGGGAGGGGGACAAAGGAATGCCTTTTTTCACAGTGTTTGAAACAATGTAGAGATGGTAAGCATAAAAATGACAACATTTAACAGTTCACTTTAACAGACGAGGTCCACCCCGAGTTCCTGAAGGCTCTGGATGTTGTAGGGTTGTCTTGGTTGACACGTCTCTGCAATGTTGCGTGGAGATCAGGGGCAGTACCCCTGGACTGGCAGACCGGAGTGGTGGTCTTTAAGAAAGGGGACCAGAGGGTGTGTTCCAACTACAGGGGAATCACACTCGTCAGCCACCGTCCTGGAGAGGAGAGTCAGTCCATTAGTCGAACCTCGGATACAGCAGGAACAATGTTGTTTTTGTCCTGGTCGTGGAACACTGGACCAGCTCCTTATCCTCTTGAGGATACTCGAGGGCGCATGGGAGTTTGTCCAACTCCTGTCGGGGGTCTTGTCAGGGGTGCTCCGGGAGTATGGGGTGTCTGGCCCGTTGCTATGGGCTATTCGATCCCTATACTACCGTTGTAAGAGCTTGGTCCGCATAGCCGGCAATAAGTCTGACTTGTTCCTGGTGGGTGATGAGCTCCGCCAAGACTGCCCTTTGTCACCGATTCTGTTCATCATTTTTATGGACAGAATTTCTAGGTGTAGCCAAGTGGTGGAAGGCTTTCACTTCAGTGGTCTCAGGATCTCATCTCTGCTATTTGCAGATTATGTGGTCCTGTTGGCTTCATCAGGTGATGGCCTCCAGCTCGCTTTGGAACGATCGCAGCCGAGTGTGAAACAGTGAAATTGAAGATCAGCAGCTCCAAATCTGAGGCCATGGTCCTTAGCCGGAAAAGGGTGGAGTGTCCAGTCCAGATCAGGGACGCGATCCTGCCCCAAGTGGAGGAGTTTAAGTATATCGGGGTCTTGTTCACGAGTGATGGGAGAAGGGAGCTGGAGATCAACAGACGGATTGGTGCAGTGGCTGCAGTGATGCGGACGCTGTACCGGTCTGTTGTGGTGAAGAGAGAGTTGAGTTGAGCTCTCAATTTACCGGTCGATCTATGCCCCTACCCTCACCTATGGTCACGAGCTGTGGGTAGTGACCGAAAGAACAAGATTGCGAATACAAGCGATGGAAATGGGCTTCCTCCGAAGGGTGGCTGGCCCCTTGGGAGGGGCTCAGAGTAGAGCCGCTGCTCCTCCACACCGAAAGGAACCAGTTGAGGTGGTCAGATGCCCCCTGGGCGCCTCCTGGGCGAGGTTTTCTGCCCATGTCCCACAGGGAGCAGGCCCCGGGGCAGACCCAGGACACGCTGGAGAGATTATATCTCTCGGCTCTCCTGGGAATGCCTTGGTGTTCCCCCGGATAAGCTGGACGAGGTGGCTGGGGAGAGGGAGGTCTGGGTTTCTCAGCTTGGGCTGCTGCCCCTGCAACTTGGCCCCGAATAAGCGGAAGAAAATGGATGGATGGATGGATGTTTTATTGTATCGTTGCACATTCTTGTTAACGAGGAGCAGCTGTTGCTATTTCTCAATCATTTGTGATGAAGAAACAGAACATCATGTAATTATGTGACAGATCATTAATTATTTTTTCTTTTTGTAACTTCAGCAATGGCATTAAAATTTTTAATCTTTAGTTTAAGCTTTTTATTCCTCCATCTATTATCTTCCACTTATCCTTATCAAAATTGTGTTCTTTTTATTTAATTTTATTGTTATTATTTTTTTCAAATGGAAAAGATATTTATATTAGTGCTTTTCCTTCCTTTTTTAGTGTTTAAACCTGAGAGACAATGTAGAGTGTTACTAAATGTGTTTATGTATTTATTTAACAGCAGTACAAGGTGTACAGACAGAAGCAGTAGCTAAATCACCTCAGGAAGTCTTTGGATACCTTGGAGAAAACATCACATTGCCCTCAGGAGTCGACCCATCATGGAGTCTCATCAGAATTGAGTGGTCAATATTTACCAACAACACGTGGATTGCCACTTATCGCAATGGGAAACCAAACACTGAACATTTCCTACAGTACACTGGGAGACTCACCCTTAACACAACATCAGGTAACATTTATGAGTTTTTTTATTGCAAAGGAATTGCAGTTTTTTTTTCCTTCTTGATTTGGTTTCAAAGTATTTTATTCTATAGGTCACCTAACAATTCAAAACCTGAAGGAAAGGGATGCCATTGAATACACTGTAGATCTCCTCAACAGTGAGGGTGAAGACAAAGTAAATAAGATTAAACTCACAGCAAAACGTAAGTCAAGTATAGCAAAAAAAAACCTGTTCATAATTAGAACACACAAAAACACATATCAACCATTATCAAAATGCAGACATTTTCTTTATTTTAAATGCATATATTCTGCATAAATATCAAATTTAGCCATCTACAATCAAATATAGTGCTGGATTTTAAATTAAGCTATGCAGGCTTGTCTGTACTTTGTATGAATTGAGCATTTTCATTCTCCATCCTTGCAGAAAAGCTTCAGCAGCCATTGATCCAGATAGTCGCGAGCACATCTGTAGAAAGTGGCTGTTTAATGGTGGTGACCTGCTCTTCACTGGATAAGGGTGTTAACCTCTCCTGGAGTGTTGAACCAGTCAGTGTGCTTTCTACCAACAAGAGTCATCCCAGTGACAGCTCTGCACAGCTTTTTGCATTTGTCAACACCAAAGAGAACTTTGCCAGTTTTACCTGCATCTCCAGCAGAGATACAGAGAGTGTGTCATCCATACCTGTCACACCAAAGTGTGAGAGTAAGATCTGTGGTAAGTTGTTGAATGGGACACTTTCTGTGACATACAAGCACAGCATCAGGTGAGATGAAGCTTAAACAAAAGATGTGTGATCCAGTATTTGATGCAGTATTTGATCAGTGCACCCTTGAAGGACTTTATAACTTGAAACTAAATAGGACAAACCATCTGACACACAGTGAGATTCTGGAGCATGTCACAATTATGAGCTTTAATATTAGCAGTGGCTGATAGTGAAAGCAGTCATTAATTTTACTTGAATTCTTGGATCTCACCCTTCCTCATTATTTTCTAACATGCTAATTTCACCTTCCTGTTTGTTCACTCTGTTGTTCTTGCCCCTCCACTTCTCCTCTTCTGGTTTAACAGCAGCAGCCTCCAGTGACTGTGAGGGCTGGTTACTGGTTGTTGCTAGTACTATCTGACGGTGCAGCAGCCCCGACAGCTAATGTGTTGTTAATTTTACACATTTTACTACATTTATTATTGTTTTCTGTCTCAGCTCTTCAGCTCCATATTTTCACTACTTCTTTGACACTAAACTCTGTTCCACAGTGAAGGAAGGGGAGGGCGCTGAGATGAGAGATTTCATTGAACAATACAATATCAGTAATAAAAATGAACAAATGGGCTGCTTTACAGCCGGTAATAGTGATGGGAATTCCGGCTCTTTTTAGAGAACCGGCTCTTTCAGCTCGGCTCACTAAAAAGAGCCGGCTCTTTCAGCTCCCAACCGGCTCTACGGGTCGTTTTGTTGCTTTAATTGATTCATTATCAACAACAATATAAAATTATGCACAAAAGGAATTACTAATGTAAAAAAACGTGGTTTTATTTATATATGTTTATATATAAATATATACGGTGGCCCCTTGAGACAAAGGAGAGAGAGAAAGAGGGCCAGGGACAACAACAACAGACAACATTGTCACATTAGAAAGGTATAGTAATCATCCACAATTATTTTCAGTTGCGGATGATAAACGATTCAGAAGGTTTATTCATGCAGTGAATGATATTTATGCAATTCCAAGCAGGATAACACATGTGAGTGAAGTTGGCCCCCCCACCTTCTTCAAATCTAACAAAAGTGGCATGAAACGTTTGTGCTGGTTTGTGCTGCAAAAATTGTCGTTTGTGCTG